CTTCCCACTTACAGACTGACTGAAGAGGTGCTAGTCAGCTAAGGCCCCAGGAAACAAGGCTTAAACTGAAGGTCGTTCTACAGCAGGTCCGTGCATAGGTGGTCTGGAGACAAGGCCAGAGGAGAATTGCCAGATAAAATACAGCACTCCCCGGTGAACTTGAATTTTAATATTACACGGGATATATTTAGAATCACTGTTTACTTGAAATTCAAGTGTGACCGGACAGCTTGAGTGTTTATTTGCTAAATGTGACAACATGAGGCAAAGGAAAATTAAGATTGTATGCTTTCCATCGGTACTGTACCTACACCTAGTGAAAGCATCCATGGGCAGGATCCTATACTTCTCCACTTCATTTAACGGTTCTTATTACTTATAAAAATGATAAAGTTTTCAAGATCTGTAAACAATGTTAAAAACATATCATTGAAAGAAATGGTCTGTGCTGGTGTGAAGGATCATAAAATATTTAAAGGTACATGTGCTAGAAAAATGTTACATCAGTTTCTGTCATTTAAATCATTTAAGATGTGATAAACTGCATGCACCCTGAGTCTGGCTTTGTAGTCACACTATTTTAACCGGGTGATAACCTATTGACTCCACATTTCCCATGATAAAACAACCATAGGGTGAGGCAGATACAACCCGTCTACTTCTTAGAGCTGGTATTGTCTTCTACAGGAAACATTAACTTTGGCAAATAGCTGACTCTTCAACACTGATTTAGAGACAGATACTCTTGAGAGGAGTTTAATTCTGACTGCTCTCATAAGGATCTTTCCTTTGCCACGGGTCCCACTGAAGTGATAAATGTTTTTTGCTTGTTTGTTTTGTTTTGTTTTGAGACAGGGTTTCTCTGTGTAGCTTTGGAGCCTTTCCTGGAACTCACTCTGTAGCCCAGGCTGGCCTCGAACTTGCAGAGATTTGCCTGCCTCTGCCTCCCGAGTGCTGGGATTAAAGGCGTGCGCCACCACTGCCAGGCAATAAATATTTTTTAAAATGTAGGTGCTATGCTCCCTGATCCTTGAGTGAAATGATTACTTTAGACAGTTGTCTTAGACTGTATGAATATTGGACTAGTATTTTCTCCATATAAACACTAGCACATTAAACATGCCCAAGTGCTAAGGTTCAGTTGGAGATCTGGCCATTATTGAGGTCTCTGAGTGCTGGAGAAAGTCACTCAGAACCATCAGATAAAATGACCCATTTACTCTGAATTATCCCCAAATGTGTTGCTCTGGGGATCTGACCTTTTAGATTTAGCTGACTTGGGCTTTCTAAATACACCAGTTTGCAAAAATCCTTGGTGAGGACTTTATTTTACTTTAATTGTAACTAACCCCTTTTTTTCTTTCCTGGTCATTGTGCTATGGCTGAACCAACACATATTAACCTTTTCAATTAGGCATTTAGTGGCTCAGCCGACTGTCTTCCTAATTTGCATACTGAGTTTTCTGGAACAGTCAGCCTTGGCATGTTAGTTGCAGTCTGGGATCTGCAGAGTCTAAGTGCAAACACACAAGCTCCGCACTTGGAGAGGGTGACCTGTGTGTTCAGTGCTGGATATAGTCATCTTTATTAAGGGTAAGAGCAGCAAGGGCTAACATTACTGAGCATTTTCCATGTCCCCAGCACTGCATACTTGTAGGTATGCTCAGTCAGTTAGCATTTTCACCAACCTTATGAGATGACCCCCTCCTCTAATTTTAAACAGGAGAAAATGCAGGGTGTTTAGGGTACTTGGCCTGAACTCGGGTGGGTACTGTGAATAGTCAGGCTGCAGAATCTACCTGCTTCTCCTTGCCTCTATGAATGCATCTGAAGACAATATAAAGAGCTTGCAATTTTCAGGTCTCTCCATACAAAGGAAGATGCCACGTCTTTCACCGGGACCACAGATTTCAGGGGAAAAGGAACGCAGGCAGATAGCTCTCCCTTGTCACTCCGATACACACACCTTCCTGGAAGAAGGTTGCTATTTTTGCAGTGTACTTGTGATACAGCCACTGAACTGACACACATGAGGACTTGCATAGGCAAAGAGCCGTGGCCAATGTTAGTTATGCAGAGAAGAGAGAGCTGATGGGTCCAGAACACACGTATACACACGTCCACACCCGTACCCACACCCACTCCTACATACACACACAGATCCCTTGCTGGTGAAATTTTAACTCTCTTGGTCTTGCTTACCAGAGGACCAAAGAGTGTTCCAGGGTGTGCCTGGGAATGGGGTGCACTGTATTTTCCCTGATCTGGCACTGGGGTAGACAGGGCAAACTCAGAGCAAGAGAAGCCAGATCACTGTATATATGTGTATATATATATATATATATATATATATATATATATATATATATATGGACTATTCTTATGTAATGAATTTCTTTTGTCTTCTTCAGTGTTTAAAAAGACCATTTGAATGTTTCTATATACCTTATATATCTATCTCACTGAGGGGTTTTTGAAATGAATGGGGCCACCCAACCCCAAGGGGCAGCAATGACAATGGATGGAGGGGGCAAAAGTTACTCAGTGGTCTCTGTCCCCACTCCCTGCACAGTTCCTGTTCCAAACCTTGGAGACTCAGGACTGGGTTTTAATTCACATGTGACACTCCTATACATCCCATCTACAGTAATTCAGGGAACAAATGTTGAGCTGTCTCCTGTCAAGGATGCCAGTAATGCAAGCATATTTTCAGGTGTCCATTATGAAACACTATGCATATATCAGGAGGATTTGTGAAGCTAAAAATTAAAGCCTTACTGGACACTGTCTCTGACTCAATCAAGTATCACTTTAAGGGTTTGTTCAAGTTTTTCTGAAGCCTCTAAAGCTGGAGAGAAAATAGAACAGGAAAAAAAAAAGCCATCCTTTGGTGAATAGTTTGCCAGAGAAGCTCCAGCACAAGCTGCTGGAACATGCCTGCCATTATCTAGAACCTTCTAGAAAAATATGTCAATCTGAAAATGCTTTACTTTGGAATGCAGAGACTCTCGTGAGGTATTTATGATAATTTTGACATTATTTTCCAGCCTATTTATGGTAAGCAGTTTTATTAACAAACTGTCCATGGAAAGATTCATTCAGACTTACAAACTCCATAGAAAGCCGTCCTCAGGCTCACAGCTGCCTGTATGGGATAGCAACATGAATTAAGAGGCAATGTGTCTTCCTAGGCCTCCGGAGCCCGTGACCTGATGGCCCTGATCCCAGCAGAAGCCTGGAGGGCATAGAGCTGAGGCTGCTCAGCCAGTCTCTGAAACACCAGCCACCTGGCTCTGGGGGAGGGGAATGGCAATGGGCAATATTTTTCTTTCAGCAGAGCACAGCTGAACAGTAACACTAGTGACATCAATCAATCAATCAATCAATCAGTAAACCATCTTATTTGAGCTCCTTGTTAATCCGTTTTTGTTTTTGTTTTGCCAACTGTCAGAGCTGGTCAAAAAAATATTAAGTACACAAATAAATAAATAATGAATAAAGGATAAAGGTGCAAAATCAGTTTAGCAAACAAAATCTATCCTAGCCCACTGCAGGTTTCTTAAGCTTCTTAAACGGGGTTCCCTTCCCGTTTCATCCAGTCCTCATCTCGCCTTTGAGGACCAGGGATCTACCTTTGGAGGCAGTCCAGCTGGGAAGGCTATTCCACTTTCAGGTCTAAGCGCTCCTCTCCCCGGAGGACTGCCACGGAAGCTGCCTGACGGTTCCGGAAAGATCTGCAAGCAGGTCTCTAGACCTTGCAGATGAAAGGCTCTCCCAGACGTTAGCATGTAGAGAAAATAGCACGCTATTGGCTCAAGCTGGGGAACTTTCCCTTAAAATCATGTTATCCTCTGAGAGCCGCAGGGAAGCTTCCAGATTCTTCTCAAGGAGTTGTGACTTCTTTCGAGCGGGGGGTGGGGGTGGGGGGGTGAGGAGGCATATTTACAGGAACCCAAGCAATTCAAGAGGGAAAACACTTGAACTAACGCTTGAATCTCGAATCGGCTTGTACGTGGCTTTGGATCTGTTCTTAAACAGACCAGACTCTTGGGTTACTCCCCCCTCCCACCCACTCCCCACCCCCGCGTGCCTTGTCCCTTATCCATAGTCCTTTATTGGGCTACACTTTTTCTGGATAAAAACCTAAGTTTCCAACCCGAGACGGTGGTGCCAGATTTCATCTTTGCAGTCCGCGGGCTGGTTTGGGTTGTCGGCCCAAGGTCGTGGCTGCTAGAAGTCCCTAGACCATCGGGGCATGCATAGTGGAGCCGGAGAGCGATATTTGGGGATGGGGCACAGGCAGAAGGGGGTGTGTGTACTACTTTTAGACAAGTTATTAGTTTCGTTCAGGGAGCACATTTTTAAAAGGCTCTTGGCCACAGTAGACCTGCAGTTCGCCAGCAGTGATCGCAAGCTTGACCCCAGCCTGGGCCGCTGCCCCAAAGACTGTGCCGCATCATCATCCTAAGCCTAAGTAAAAAGAGACGCGGGAGTTCCCGAGACCTCTAAGTCCTGGAGCGCCAACCAGCCCGGTTGAGCGCACATGATGCTGAAAGCCCTCTTAGCAGCGGCTTTATCAGACCCCTGCCCTGGCTCTGTATCCCATGGCAGGACAAACCACGGCAGGAAGTGATGTCTGGGACTGTGGCAGGGGCGCTCTGAGAACCCCCCAGCGAAGAAGAGAAGCCGCAGAGAGCAGTCGTCTCCTTGCGGGGTTCGGTGTTCTAACGCGCCAGCTAGCCAGCCACCTGTTTCACAAAGACTGAATTTGTGGGGGGCACAGGCTGCCGCCACGAAGACCCCGTCTTTTCTCCCCCCCCCCCTTGCCCCAGGACCGCCAAAACCGAACATCTCAAATCTAAGTGCGCACACCCCTGCAGACCCACCACCTTCCAGTGGCGACTTATTTCTCGATCTCGCCGACCCACCCCCCAACCCCCGAGCCGGAGACTGGTGCCGGCTTCCCCACGCCTGGCTCTTCCGCGGAGCGCGCCAAGTACCTGCGGTGAAGATGCAGAGAGCGATGAGCGCCTTGCAGACCATGTTACTCCGGCGCTCGGTACCGAGCTGGACGCGGCTAGGGAAGGGTTTCCTGGGGCTGACCAAGTGCGTCGGTCACGGGCAGCTCCTCTTTCGCCTGGCGGGCTGCGGGAGGAGCGGGTGGAGCTGACCGCCCGGCGCGATCAGTCCAGGCAGCTTCGGTAGCAGCTTTGGTGTCTGGCGGCGCTAGGCGAAGTGGTGGTGGTGCGCAGAGTCAGCTGTGTGCCCTGCGGCGCCAGGCACACTTCTGCTCCATCCCAGCTGCCCGAGCCCAGGGCCCGCCTGTACGGTCGCCAAACTCCTCCCACCCGGCCCTCCTGCGAGGACAGGGCCACCCACTGGCCTTCCCCCTCCTTGCGCTCTAGTCCCAGGAGTCCCGGCCCAGGGCGGCCTCTGCTGGACAGTGGGCGCTAAGCCTGAGCTTTCAGTGGATTTAGCCGCCACTGAGAGATCCTTGCACTGTTCCAGAAGCCAAGACAAAGTGAAGTGCTTTGCCCTCAGGAATCCAACTCAGTTTTGCTTACGAAAACGTATTACCTTTAGAGAGGTGACTAAGAGGTCACCTCAGAGAATCAACACACTTCTTTCCTTTCCAAGTATGAAATGAAGACCTTCCCCTTCATTTCTGCAAACAACCTTCCGTGTACATTAAACCCTCACCAGCCCTGAACTCCCGCGGCACTTCCTGGTGCCTGGGCTACCCTATTCAGCTTCACACCAGAAGAAATGCCACTGTCTGGTGACATGATCGCTGGGTAACTGAACCAGGTGTCTGACTAGTTACTGCGCTGAAGTTCCTTGTACTAACCCAAAGACATAAAATTATCATTCCACAGATAAGAAACTAAAGGCATGAGAAATTAAGGAACGCGCTATGTTTATATAGCTTGATTAAGAATGGTTTGTACAGCAGGCCCATAACCACAATATAATCCTATATTGTTATATAATAATAATAGTTGACATTTCTTGAGAAATGGCATAGGCTAGGCAATGGACAATGTCCATTCACATCCGACCCAAGTCAAGTCATTCACTTCCCATTACAATCATCCCAGGTGGGTACATTGTATCCTCATTTCAGGGGTAGGAAATAAATGTACATGCTTGCCCAGGCCTCACAGTTACCAAAGGGTAATCAGATGCCTCCCTGGGCTCGGTCTCTGTGTGCTTGAATGCCTCTTCAAAGATCAGGGCATCTCCAAAGAGGGATCAAAAATGACCTTTTACCTAATTTTTCCCTCCCCCCCTTAGCCTTGCCTAGTTCTCATCCCAGTTACATGCCACATCCTTTTCAGTTTGGTACAGTGTGAGCCTGGTAGCCCCTCAGTCACTAACTGGAATGGAGAGTCAGAAGAGTAAAGGAACCTTTACAGGGACTTGAAGAGCTTGGTGTCATCTACAGAACCAATTTCCTGTCATTTGCTCTGTCGTTTCCTCGTGCCAGGGACTCCTCTTTCTCAGTCAGGGTTCATCACTTCAGCTGTGGCCAGGTCAATTCTGCGCCTCACCTCACCATCACCACTTGCAGATCTCGGCTGGACTTCCACAATAGATTACACAGGACTCCTAACTGTCCTTTGTCTTCACAAATGTAATGATTCCTGTTGGGATATGAAGCAAAAGATAATGCAAGTCAGCACTGAACCCCCTTTCCTGCCTCCCTGGCCAGAAAAACTGGCAAATTCAATGTCTTAAACACTTCTCTTAAGCCTTCTGGTCTCCAGTCCTTCTGGTGTCTCCCTGCCCTGTGTGATTATGAAGCGTTTCAACGTCTGGGCTTTGACTGTCATGGAGTCTGCAGCCACACACAGGTGGGGCCTGACAGCGACACTCTTGGAGGCACTGCTGGTGCCCTTCTCTTTATACGGGCTGATTTAAGTAAGGTTGCATACAAATAGCATATTTGTTTTTTTTTTTTTTTTTTTTCTGAAAAGAATCAAACTGTCGCTGTTCCTGCAAGTTACAGAACACCTCCAGCATTTCAGAGTGCACCGGTACCTTTTAGTTCATTTATTGTTTATGAGTCATACACGTAGGTAATGGATTTCAGTCCTTCTCATGCCCTATCTCACCCCCTCTTCTCCTCCTGCTCTAACCCTTCAGTGAAAACCCCTTTCACACAAACACAGTACAAAATGGTAGAACCATTTGATGTATAGGACCATTTGAAACATTCTTGGAGATTCTGTTCCATGCCAAAATTCATTTAATGATATTTTAATGAAACTATTCAGAAACTTTAACTGCAATTTAAAAAGAAAACAAACATTTGAATACAAGCCAAACATATACACTTTGCTGTTTGTGTACTGAAGAATTAACAGTAGGAAAATACTGAAAGTCTGTTTTCTGTAATTAAACCATTATGTTTCTATAAGAGGAGAAAATGCAATGTGAGCAGTAAGAAAACTGAAATTCTTGATGCACAGTAATCTTGAGTATGAGCTGCGGTGTTTCAGGCAATGTGGACTGGCATTAGGTTATATGATGGCATGACCATTGCTAAATGCACATGCTATGTGTTTAAAACCAAGGTTGCAGTGAAGCCTCTAGACACAACACAGTCAAGGTCTACTAGAAACTTTAGGCTTTGAATTAATTACTCTCCAAACCTTTTTATGACTCCGTATTCAGTTATGTAGCTAGCTGTGGTTATACTCCCAGCTGTGAGATAAAGCAAGTCAATGGCCATGTCCAACTTCAAGAAAGCAAGGAAGCTTAATCCACTCATGTGACCAGACAGAGAGGAGAATATCTAATGGGGAAGAGTTGTGATATGTGTCTCAGTAGTTTATTGCCTCTTTCACCAGCAGACTTCTACTGGTAGAATGGTGAATAAGAAAACATCCAATAATAAAGATTTGTGATATAAGTGTTACAAATAATGTCTAATAACATTTATTGACATCTGCTATGTGGTAGGAAAATTTCTAGGTTGTGTGTGTGTGTGTTTGTGTGAATATGCATTTGTTTGCACTATGAGGTAGGTACTGTAGGAGACCAGAATATGCCATCCCCAAATGTACCTCTCTGGAATAATAATTACTTTGAGAAACAGGGAGAAATAGGAGAAGAGTAGAAGTTACTCTCCTGTAGAGGGGAATTTATAAAGGACACACCCATTTGCAAGGATGTCTCTATGTCAGTACTAAGAGAAATAAAGATGACTAAATTACTAGACACATTGATCAGTGGGAGAGCAGAGGGGATAAGTCTATATAACAAACTTTATACTGCTTTCCCAAGCTTTTGCTGGCCACTTTCCCCAACAGCATTATTATTAATATTAACTTATTATTATATTATATACATTATATTAATATATCAACTTATTCACTTGAAGATGGTTGTTAAGCCTAAACTGAATCCTCCCCTTTGAGAGTTACTCATTTCATAAACATCTCCCATATATATATTGTCTGTGCATGTTGTAAGGCCAAAGGGCCAGTTAAAGAAACACACCTGACCCTGAAACCAGAGCCACTGAAAGAAACACATTTGGCCCTGAAACCAGAGCCAAAGAAACACACTCTGCCCCTGACCAACTCAGCATGAAAATCAGCCAATCCCTGAGCACAAAATCCAGCCAATCTCTGAGTTTATCCAAACTCAGGAATTGAAAACTGACCTATTCCCACCCTGAAAATCTTCACCCTGGAAAAACTCCATCCCTAAGAATCCCTATACAGGCCCTGGACCTGTTCAGTTGGGAGCTGCCTTTTCCACTTTGGCAGAGGCAGCCACTCTCCTGGATTTCTTCCTCCCAATAAATGTCTTGAATGAGTTTTGGGTGAAGACCTTCTTTTGCCAGAGTGGAGCAGAGCAGAGAGGTAATAACTTTTGCCAGAGTAAGAGCAAACTGCTACATTTCTGTGGGGTGTGTGTGTGTGTGTGTGTGTGTGTGTGTGTGTGTGTGTGTAGAGGAACACCCCTTAGCAGAGAATAGAGAAGTAACAATATTCATCGGAGCAGGGGCAAGATTGCTATATTCCTGTGGGGAAACCATCCCCCATCAGAACAGAGCTATAGATAGAGCCTGGCTTCTGACAGCCAGGATACCTTCCCTTTCAGAGCTGTGGGTATAGACTAACTTCTGACAGCCAGGATACCTTACCCTCCAGAGCTGTAACACTGTAACATGTTCTTAAACTTTTTTTCTCATATTAATATGCCATATAATTCATTACAGGGGGCCCAAGCTAAGACTTTCTATATAATAAAGTCAAAACTAATGTTTCTCTCCTATGATACTATTATCCTCAATTTGAAAGTAAAGGAACTAAGACATTTGCAGCTGAAGGAAACTGAAGGATGCTATGCTATATAATGTCAGGGAACACGCCATGGTCAGTGGGGCCAGAGATGAAATGTTCATGAAACTGTTTATTTTTATGCCTTTATATCCAAAGTAGATTTCTTCAGAGATTTCTCTTGATCCTTTTATAGTGTTCCAGTGGGATAAAAATCTGAGAAAAATCGGCTATTTACTGACTTCATTCCATTTTGATCACTGTTAGAATGAATTTCTAGTGTTAATGACTTTCAACATTTTACAAAAACATTACCCTTGACTGGCTGAGCTTTTGACATCCTGAATGTATTGTACTTCATAGGCAATGTTAGGTGAGATATGCCAGACTCATAGAAATATTATCTCGAGAACTTTAGTCTCATGGTTGAGGAAAGAGTGAATAATTTGGGTGATAGAGCTGTGTGAGATAATGTAACAGTGACTCAAGATGTGATCCGCATCTCTTCTCTACCACTGGCCAAATCCTTTACCCTCTTGGCACCAGTCAGATTCCGTATTAGTGTTCTAAGTCTGCTATAATGATACACTATACATTGAATGCCTTAAGAAACAGAATATTTCCTCCTTCCTTCCTTCCTTCCTTCCTTCCTTCCTTCCTTCCTTCCTTCCTTCCTTCTTCTCTCCTTCCCTCCCTCCCTCCCTTCCTTCCTCCCATTCTAGTGTTGTAAGGTAATTCCACCAGAGAACACATAGACACTCTTAAAGCTGAATAGAAAGTCTATTGCTGACTGGTGACTGCATGGGGAACTTGCCTAAATCATGTAGCCCCAAGCCTCACTGTTCTTTGCCTTGTATACACAAAAAAACTACATCTGGTTGACACACTTTCAGTTAGCAAGAAAAGTTAGGGAGAGGTGAAGTTGCAGAGGCCAAAAAGCAACGTTAGTCCAGTTAGGGACTTTCCCAGATCCTGAAACTATGGACTAGTGCTGTGGGATGTCTTTCTGTATGCTGTGAATATGTGTTGCTAT